ATCTCCTGACCTCGTGATTCCCGCACCTCGGCCTCCCAAAGTGCTGAGATTACAGGAATTGTTGGCATCTTATTCGCAGTTTATTCTAGATAAAATCTTTCCTCAAAACAGATAATTTAATGTCAAACTTTTATGGTATTGTTTACATTATAACCCCAAACCCTCAGTTACAAATTAGGGAAAAAAAAACACTACCCTATTTTTAATTTTGTCTAGAAAATCATCCATGAAGTTACGGAGGCAATGTTTAAACCGATGGAAAACATTGATATCTTGATTTACCACTGCTATTTGCGCTATTTGATGAGGAAATAAATATATAAAAACAGCAACAGTAAGGCAACTCCTTAGCTATTTTGATTACCAAGATTGAGTAGAAGTGAGAACCCTCCCATATATGAACATTCTGTTCGCGCAGACGGCAGATCTCCTCTCCGATGAGCGTTAAGTGAATAAGTAAATAAATAAAGTATAACTGCTGTTATTGTTGGGGTATTCTCCTAGCCACACCTAAGGTAATAATTCCTGAATTGGAAGAGTAGATATAATCTACAGAATAAAAGAATAGGCTCTTTTTAATGTTGCTGATAAAAGTTGGATTTCGAAGTTAATGTATATATTTATATGTGTGTGGCAGGGTGTGTTTATCAATAATTACTTATATATAAATTGATAACAGACATAGGTACGATATTGAATGTATGCCTTGTATTTGGTGTCATGCTACACATCAACTTTTCATTTTAACATAGCCAATTTTAATACCTGATTATGTCTTTCATTAATAAGTCAAATCTTAGGTATGAACAGCCTCATTGCCTCTGTGTTTTCTTATAATAACATATTGGCCATCTTGATTTCACAGAAACAAATCGACTACAACACCCTGGCTTGATATTATCTTGACCAGACTTCTTTGAAGAAGACCAAGTAAAATCATGCAATGTGCTGATTGATTCTTTAGGTTTTAGCATCTATGGGAACACATCGAAACTTACTTGAAACAAGTAAAAGTAAATGTGCATATGAGGTTCACTATGTTCACTTACATGCCACTTCCAGAGATGCATTTCGACTCACTGCTTCACCAAGATAGTTCCTTGCAACACAGACGTAGCTTCCTTCATCAGGTTTACTTCTGCGCCCATGCACGATGCGCAAGAAGAATAAGGATCCGCTGGGCAGAAGCATCCTGTGGGACCGGGGATCGTCCTTGTCAGTCTCCACTCGCTCCCCATCCTTGTACCACTCAATGGTGGGCGTTGGCCGGCCCTCCGCCTTACAGTTGAGAGTCGTGGGCTCTCCCTTCGAGACGATGACATCAGAAGGGTGCTCCACAATCCGCGGGGGGAAGTCTTCCTGGCGAAGACGCGATCCTGCAAAACAGGACAAATAAAGGCAAGCTTTAACATTGCCTTATCTCAACCTTCCGTTTCACTGAGGTTCCTGATGGTGAAATTAAACTCTTCAGTTATTCAATTGAATAGTATTTTATGTTTCGTTTTGTGTATGCATCTCAGAAGTCATCTCAACTCCTTTGTAGAATGGGGCAATTTACCAATAAATTAATATGTTAACTCAAAGGACTTAGGTTCAATGTGTTCCAGGAATCATGACAAGCAGAAGTAAAAGAGGACAAGAGGCCTTCTTGTTGTTCTGGGATCAGCACGGGTACTCAGATGAGTAACACTGATTTCCCGTCCTCAGATTGCTTGTTATATACTGAGGAAGAAAGTCACGTAAGCAAGCACCTAGAAGACACACATAGATAATGTGCTGCCAATGTGTTATCAGACTAACGCAAAAAGAGACCTGCAAATTATGTACAAATATTATCTGCATTTAACAGATGAGGCAAAAGCTTAGTAAATGATGTCAGTTGCCCAGAAATGTAGATGAAGCAAGCAGTAGAGGCAGGCTTTTGAACTCAGGTGTGTTTGACTGAGGAGCTCAAGTATAAATCCGTATGTTAAAATGTAATATGCCGCATAGAGGGATATAAGAAATGCACTATAGGCAGAAAGAAAAAAAATTAAAAGTTAACCCTAAATTAGGCATAATAAGAGATCTCTTCCCCCCAAAAAATTATATTTAGATGGAGCTGTAAAGAATGAAAAATGACAACTAAAAGAAAAAAGCATCATGTCAAGAGATACCATCAGCAAAAAGACAAAGAAATGAGAGTTATGTGCATGGTACGTTTCATAATCAGGAAGGAAGCTGATATGGCAGGAAAAGGTTTGAGGCAGCCTGGGAGCCTGAGGCAATGGGCTTTGTACCGTGCTCAGGAGAGTGTGATGTTATTTCACATGGCTCCCAGATTCTTAAGGGAGCAGTGACATGACTATCTGTAGAACTGAAAGATAGTTTTAGTCTGCATTATCAGTAAGGGATAGCAATGGAGACATGAAGACAGCTGCATTTTACTTAAATCGTTCAAGAGAAAAATAAAAAGAACCTGACCTTGGGAAATGATGGTTTAGGTGGAAAAGAAGAAGGAAAAATGCACCCTATCGAAATGCTTGACAGAATTTGGTATATCACCATACACAGTACAAAGAAAGAGAGATTGTACCAGTGACTTCCCGGTGAATGCAATACAAGTGGGGCCATAAGGGGTGTAAGAAATCAGAAGAGAGGCCGGGCACGGTGGCTCACACCTGCAATCCCAGCATTTTGGGCGGCCGAGGCGGGTAGATCACCTGAGGTCAGGAGTTTGAGAACAGCCTGCCCAACATGGCAAAACCTCATCTCTACTAAAAATGTAAAAACTTAGCCGGGCATGGTGGTGGACGCCTATAATCCCAGCTACTCGGGAAGCTGAGGCAGGAGAATCACTTGAACCCAGGAAGCAGACATTGCAGTGAGCCAAGATAGCGCCACCACAATCCAGCCTGAGCGACAAGAGTAAAATTCTGTCAAAAAAAAGAAAAAAAAAGGAGAAAAGAAAAGAAATAGGAAGAGAAGGATCCGTTGATATTTGTCATTTATATGGTGTCAATTACCATTATTCATGAAAATGTTCTACTAGCTGCTCCAAGTAAATAAAAAGGAGATGCTGAGAGGAATCACCATATATGGGGACATAATGATTATATAGATAAGCACTTCTTAAAAGTTTGCTCTTATGTAAGACTTTCCAACCAATCACCTAATATGAGCACATTTCTCTTCAATAGATAGCAGTAATATTTACTTCTCAATGTTACCTCAGTTCATGCTCAATATTAATTGAAAATACATATTTTAATGTATTAAAGGGAATTTAATTCAGTCTTAAATAAACTTTTTTTTTTTTGAAGAGGATTAACTATCAAAAGTTGCTGACTATTTTTTTTAATCACATTAGACCAAAAAAGAATGTATACATTACAAGTGTTAGATATCTAAAGCAAAAGAGTAATTTACGGTCTACAGGTCAGAAATTTTTTTACAAACCTGAAGAGATCCAAAGCATATAGATAGGTAATTGTAATATACATCACAATAATAAAGGTTATGGAGCATGAGTACCGGGTCTTAAAGCAATGAGGAATTTACAGAATATAAAAGTAACAAGGAATTTTTAAATTCATACTCAAGAAAGACTTCAAAGTTTTTAAATATGAGTGGCTGACTATAAGTAGCTTGCAAATCGGAAACATATTCTCAATGTAAATGTCTGGATACATAGCCATAGACTCTGATCCTAAAATACATCAAGGGTTTTATGTCACTTTTCATGTAACAGGCATATAGTAGGTTACAACCATCTCTTTAGATAGCCTCTTTGTTCTCCTTCAATCTCCCTATGCATGGTGACCTACATTCTCCCTACTGCAAAAACTGTTCTGCTATTAAAAGTCAGCAAGTAAATCATCCATGCTACTAGGGTGCTGTTTACTGTATCAACTTGTTCCCTAACTTATTAGGCAGTAGGCCTGGATAAGGGCTGAATAAGACCTGAAATACACTAATACTTATTAAATAAAATATAAAATAACTGATTTATAAAAGAAAAAGTGACAAAATAGTTAAGCTATTTAGCAATGATTTAAAATCCAGTATGTCCAATGAGCACACAAAGAATTTTACTCATTTATCATTACAATATATGTAAACTATGTTACCTAGAGATTACAGTACTGTCATGTCAGGATACTCATCTAGTAGTTTTACTCCTACTTTAATAAAAACATCAAAGAACATCTACAACCTAAATATAAAAAGTAAAACTATGAAATGATTACAAGAAATTACAGAGGCAAGTTTTTATGATTTTGAGTTAGGTGATGGCTTCTTGGATATGATACCAAAAGCACAAGCAACAGAAGAAAAAAAGAGATAAACTGGATGTTATAAGATTTTTAAATACTTGTGCTTGAGAGAATACTACCCAGAGAATCAGAAAAAAATATACAAATCATATACCTAACAATGGATTTATGTCTAGAACATACAAAGAACTCATAGCTCAATAAAAATATAATTAATTTTTTTTTTATGTAGGGGATTGGTTTGAGTAGTTAGACAAATTTGTCAAAGAAGTTAGACAAATAGTGATAACCACATAAAGAGATATTCAACATCATTAGCTATTAGATAAATGCAAAACAAAACTACAGTGAAATACACTTCACACCCACTAGGATGTATATATAATCAAAGCAATGTAAAATAACAAGTATTGTCAAGGGTGTGGAAAAACTGAAAACCTCATCCATTGCTGGTGTGAATTTAAATCGTACAGTCACTTTGGAAAACAATCTGGAAGTTCCTCAAAATGTCAAACATGTAGTTACCATATGACCCAGCAATTTCACTCCTAGATATATATCACCCCAAAATGAAACCATACATCCACACAAAACTCACTCATGAATATTCATAGCAATATTATTCACAATAGCCAAAAAAGTAGAAACAACCCAAATGTCTACCAACTGAATGGATAACAAAGAATGAATCAACAAAAGAAATGTCCATGATGAATAAATAAAATGTGCCATATCCATATAATGGAATATTATTCAGCCTTAAACGTGAAGTATTAATAATACATGCTGCAACATAGATGAACTTTGAAAAAATAAGTGAAAGAAGCTAGTTGCAATGGACCATATATTGTACGATTCCATTCATATGAAATGTCCACAGTAGGAAATCCATGGACATAAAATGCAGATTAATGCTTGCCTAGGGCTGGGGTATGGAAGTGGGGAATGAAGGTGGCCTGGGAAAGTGCTGCCAATGGGGATGGGATTTCTTTAGGGATGATGAACATATTCTAAAATTAATTATGGTGATGGTTGCATTATTCTGTGAATATAATAAAGATTATTATACACTTTGGGTGAATTTTGTGGAATATGAATTATATCTCAAGCAATTTTTAAAAATTGATAGATAAAAGAGCACTGTGAACACGTTTAATAAAAGGTGTGTAACAATTTGTCCTCACTCCTAACAACAGTTAACGTTATTTTCTTCATTTATAATTTTAGGTTATAATGAAATCATCAGGCCTGCAATAGATCATTAGGACATAAAGTGAACTGTAACAGTCTTGCCAGCCAGATAGGTAGATTAGAGAGATAGAGAGAAAAATAGATTAGAAAGACAGACATAGATATGCAAAAATACAGCTACAATCTAAGTTTTACGATGTTATTAAAAATATGGGGATTCATTCTGAGCTTTCTTAAATTCAGACATTACATAACAATAGCAGTGGTCTTAAAATTACATAACAATAGCAGTGGTCTTAAATTCAGACATTACATAACAATAGCAGTGGTCTTAAATTCAGACATTACATAACAATAGCAGTGGTCTTAAATTCAGACATTACATAACAGTAGCAGTGGTCTAAAATTCAGACATTACATAACAATAGCAGTGGTCTTAAATTCAGACATTACATAACAATAGCAATGGTCTTTAAGATGGACTCAATGCATAAGTCTTCCGAGTCTTTAAAACTGCGGAAAGGAGTAATATTGTGTAAAGGGGAGGCAGCAGTGGTGGTGTGGGGTGGAGGGTGTAGCTTTCATCACATTCCCAAAGAGGGTGGGCCTTTAAGATTACCAAGGAGCACTAAACTACTGGGTATTCTGTGTTATCGGCTAAAAGAACTCCATTATTTGGTCAAAAACCAAAGCTGAGTTGTCAGCAAAACTCACTGGGGACTGAGAACAGAACAGTAAGGGGGTGTGGGGGTTGTTTGTCACATGAAGTGCCATGAAGCAGCTCAACCTCAACATTTCGGGACTCTAAAGTGTGAGCCCCTCGACTAGCAACAGAAGCATGATCCGAAGGCACATTCGAAATCGAGGATCTCAGGTCCCAACCCGCATATCTCAGATCTGAATCTGCATTTTACCAAGATTCCCCTGTC